ACACACACACACACAGGTGTATCAGTTCTATCTGTATTGAAGGTGTGTGTCTGTGCAGCCGCAGGGTTTTGCTGCCCTGATTGTGCTTTTCACAGCTTGTTTGTTTCGCTGCCGCTGAATGAAACCTCATCCGATTAGATCTGGTCTCACTGTGCTTCCGAATTAAAGCTCCCTGATGCACGGATGGATGGATTCTGCACGAATGAGTGCCCGTGTTCAGAAGTTTGATTTAAGCCGCCGATGTGGTGTATGACTGAATAAGCCGGTTATGTCAGATAACGGTGTAAATATTCAATGTTTATTTCTTAATTCTGACTCTGATGTGTTCTGATCTCACAAAAGATCAATAGAAATATGATACATTCTTTTTCTTTTCATGAAACCTTTGCTTCTTGTTTCTTTTTTTAAATGAACGTTTATAGAAAGAGAGACCAGACTATCAGAGAGACTCAAATGTGGATTTTATTTGTATTACGAGTAAGAAAATACCAGTAGCAATCACCCAAAATACCCTTGAAATCACCCAGAAGACCCCAAAAACACTCTGAAAATCACTCAAAACACCATAGTAACCACACAGAACACCCCAACAACACCCTATCAACACCCAGAAGACCCCAAAAACATTCTGAAAACCACTCAAAACACCCTAGCAACCACACAGAACACCCCAACAACACCCTGAAGACCCCAAAAACATTCTGAAAACCACTCAAAACACCATAACAACCACACACAACACACCAACAACAACCTAGCAACACTCTGAAGACCTAAAAAATATTCTGAAACCACTCGAAACACCCTAGCAACCAACCAGAACACCCCAACAACACCCTAGCAACATCCAGAGGACCTCAAAAATCACTAAAAACGCCCTAGCAACCATACAGAACATCCCAACAACACCCTAGCAACACCCAGAACACCCCAAAAACATTCTGAACATCACTCGAAACACCCTAGCAACCCCCCAGAAGACCCAAAAACATTCTGAAAAACACTCAAAACACCCTAGTAACCACACAGAACACCCGTACAACACGTGGATTTTATTTGTATTACGAGTAAGAAAATACCAGTAGCAATCACCCAAAATACCCTTGAAATCACCCAGAAGACCCCAAAAACACTCTGAAAATCACTCAAAACACCATAGTAACCACACAGAACACCCCAACAACACCCTGAAGACCCCAAAAACATTCTGAAAACCACTCAAAACACCATAACAACCACACACAACACACCAACAACAACCTAGCAACACTCTGAAGACCTAAAAAATATTCTGAAACCACTCGAAACACCCTAGCAACCAACCAGAACACCCCAACAACACCCTAGCAACATCCAGAGGACCTCAAAAATCACTAAAAACGCCCTAGCAACCATACAGAACATCCCAACAACACCCTAGCAACACCCAGAACACCCCAAAAACATTCTGAACATCACTCGAAACACCCTAGCAACCCCCCAGAAGACCCAAAAACATTCTGAAAAACACTCAAAACACCCTAGTAACCACACAGAACACCCGTACAACACCCTAGCAACCACCCAGAAGACCCCAAAACATTCTGAAAAACACTCAAAACACCTTAGTAACCACACAGAACACCCCTACAATACCCTAGCAACCATGCAGAACACCCTAGCAACCACCCAGAAGACCCCAAAACATTCTGAAAAACACTCGAAACACCCTAGCAACGACACAGAACACCCCAACAACACCCTAGCAACACCCAGAAGACCTTAAAAAATATTCTGAAACCACTCAAAACACCCTAGCAACCACACAGACCACCCCAACAACACCCAGAGGACCTCAAACATATTCTGAAAACCACTAAAAATGCCCTAGCAACCATACAGAACATTCCTACATCACCATAGCAACACCCAGAACACCCCAAAAACATTCTGAACATCACTTGAAACACCCTAGCAACCATCCAGAAGACCCCAAAACATTCTGAAAAACACTCAAAACACCTTAGTAACCACACAGAACACCCCTACAATACCCTAGCAACCATGCAGAACACCCTAGCAACCACCCAGAAGACCCCAAAACATTCTGAAAAACACTCAAAACACCTTAGTAACCACACAGAACACCCCTACAATACCCTAGCAACCATGCAGAACACCCTAGCAACCACCCAGAAGACCCCAAAACATTCTGAAAAACACTCAAAACACCCTAGCAACCACACAGAACACCCCAACAACACTCAGAGGACCTCAAAAATATTCTGAAAACCACTCGAAACACCCAAGCAACCAACCAGAACACCCCAAAACATTCTGAAAATCACTTGAAATACCCTAGCAACCACCAGAACACCCTAGCAACACCCTGGCCTCATTGCAGTGACTTTTGTATGCACAGGCACCACTTTCTTCTGCAACACTGTCTTTTCCGTTCCATTTGCTCTGTGTCAGTGCTCATTTATAAACTGCAGCTAGTATGTCACGCATGCTAACTATGAGCTTTGGTTGACAGGAGTTATAACCAGCTGCCTGAGGTGAAGAAGAAGAGAGAGGAAGAAAAGAGGAAAACAGGAGAGGAGAAAAGAAAACTGGCATCTCGGACCAACAGGCTGCGGGCAGAGCTCTTTAAAAAGGTAGACGTATTGTTTGCAGACGTGTAGGACTGATCTGAGAGCAGCTTAGAGGGCTGATCTCGGATCAGTAATCTTTACAGCACAGGCGGGAGGGATTGAAGTTTTGAGTCGCCGTTACCTGGTTCAGCGAATTAGATTAATTCTCAGCATTAATCCTGAAAGTGAAGCTTTTCCGATACGCCGTCGCAAGGTGTGCGTTTATCTTAAGAAAATTCCCCTAATTCAATCGGACCGGAGGAGGACGCCTTCTCTAAGCCCGTTCCGCCCCTTAAAGGGGTCATATGATGCGATTTCAAGTTTTCCTTTCTCTTTGGAGTGTTACAAGCTGTTCGTGAATAGATAAGATCCCTGAAGTTGCAAAGACTAAAGTCTCAAACCCAAAGAGATATTCTTTATCAAAGTTAAGACTCTGCCACACCCCCCTAAAACGGCTCGTTCTAACACGCCCCCACATATCTAGGTCACTATGTGGGAATATTTGCATAATGCGCCCAAATGTGCACGCAAAGAAAGAAGGCGTGGTTTCAGTAACCGCAGTTAGTGTTGAAGCAGCCATGTCAGGGAGACGCTGTGTGTTTCTAGGCGAAAGCAAAAGCACTTTATTTGGCCTTCCGAAAGTAGATGCATTTAGGAATCTTTAAGATCACTTAAAACAGAACAGCAATGCATTTTATGGACGACCGTTTCATGAACCTAGGAGAGGAGGTAATTCTGACTTTGCTATGACAATC